GGCCCAAATTTTACTGGTAGTCCACAGTATGAAGAATTTTTGGGTATAATATGTCACAGTTCACTTTATTAAGCTATCCTCACTTACTGGTAAAAAATGTATAGCCTGAATGCACTGTAAGTTGCTTTGGATAAAAGCGTCTGCTAAATGCATAAATTATAAATTAATTATTACATAAAGTGTCCTGCACCCACTAGTAAAAAAATGATATCTGGTGTCTGAATAATTTGTGGTTTGACTGTAAAACTCAAATGTATAGCTTGAAGAGAGTGTGTTTTGATGTGCTTTTTGTCCTCAGGATCATCAGTTTATCCGTGATGACCTTCCTCATCGGGACCACCGCTCGGACCTGCGACCGTCCTCATCAGAAAGAGCTCAGGCTCATAACTATAAAAACCGTGAGCGCTTCACCACCATCAAGTCTGCTTCACTGGTGAGGAAAAAGAATGACATCATCCTCTCATCCCCCTCCTCTCATGCTTTACTCTTTCTTTTTCTTGTCATCCCTTTGCTTTAATACACTGCGGTCATTTCTCTCTCTTTCTCTCGGTGGTCTTTGCCTCCTTCTTTTCCTCTTTATTCAGGGGGGAAGACAAAAAGCGTCTTACTTTTCTCTTTCACCCTCACGTCTGTTGTCAAGGCAGCGTGATTCGGGCAACAGCCAGCTGCATTCCTCACACGAGTCATTAGTGTTGTTGTCTACTATTAGTTAATACGCTGTGATCCCGCACAAAAGGATATTCTTAGTCCTGTGGGGGTTTGGGTAAAAAAAAAAGAAAAAAGCATAGGGTCAATATCAGACATTTACGACGCAAATAAAGAATTTATTATGCAATTAAGCATGCAAAATAATCCATTGTGATACAACCACCTCCACCCTAATAGATGAATGAATGGAGATCAAGGGCAGGCGGTGTAGTCGATGGCAGTGTGCTTGATTTAAATGATTATGTCACCTGTTTTGGCCCCGTTTCGCTGGAGCGTGAGTACCCTCTAGGGGCAGACAAGCGCAGTGGACTTTGTCTGATACTACAGACACTCATCTATCATTTCAGATGACCACAAAGGAGTTTGGCTTTAGTGGGTTTATGGGTATGGCGTAGCATTTTTTTCCATCGACTTGTTGGTGGAATCAAGTGTGCACTGTTTATTTATCGATATGGGTTTTATGCTTGTATGGAAGGAGACTTAAGGATCTGGGCTATGCAGGGGGAAAAAATCTAAATACTGAGAAAATTGGCTTTAAAGTTGTCCAAATTAAGTTCTTAGCAATGCATATTACTAATCAAAAATTAAGTTTTGATATATTTACGGTAGGAAATTTACAAAATAGCTTAATGGAACATGATCTTTACTTAATATCCTAATGATTTTTGGCATAAAAGAAAAATCTATCATTTTGACCCATACAACGTATTTTTGGCTATTGCTACAAATATACCCCAGCGACTTAAGACTGCTTTTGTGCTCCAGGCTCACATATTGAATGAATGAAATTGATATGTAGATGTGTTGGCAGAACTATAGGGATGGAAAAGGGAATGTGAGAATATCTTAGGTTTGTTACAGATTGTAAAATTAAATGTAGAATCTGAGAAATCTCCAGTTGATGCCCTACATAAATCTCACGTTTCTTTGTTTCGTTTTCCAGCCGTTTTGAATGTAGTTGTTTCCTGCTCACAGTGTGGATTTACATTGACTCCTCAGCTTTCTTCCAAAATCTAGTGAACTGCCATGCTGCCTGCTCCCTACATAGGATGCCATCTTATAAGGCAGCAACCTAACAGTCATGAAATTTCATAAGTGCCCTTAGAAAAGTCTTATTTGCACAGAATAGGTACGACCAACATTCACAAAGTTCCACAGCCACCCTTCGTGACTGATTTCATTATGACTGTGGTTACTAATATGAATGTAGTACTCTTAGTCTTTAGTGATTTTTAAAGTGTGTGTCCCTGATAAACATAGTTACACAACAGTTAGGGTCAGTAAGAAATGTTTTTATGTTTTTGAAATAAGTCTCTTATGTTCGCCCAGGTTGCATTTATTTTATTATGCAGCAAAACAGTAATTTTGTGAAATGTTATTACCATTTAACTCTGTGGCAAATAACTCTTTTCTATTTTAATATATTTTAAAATTCAGTTTATTCCCGTGGTCGCAACACTGTATTTTCAGCATCATTACTCCAGTCTTCAGTGTCACATGATCTTCAGAAATCATTCTAATATGCTGATTTATTATTAGAATTATCAACAGTTGTGCTGGCAAATATTTTTTGGGAAACTGCAATACTTTTTTCAGGATTCTTTGATGAATAAAAGTTAAAAAGAACAGCATTTATTCAGAATATAATTCTTTTCTAACAATATAAATCTTTGCTATCACTTCTTAACAATTTAACACATCCTTGCTGAATAAAAGTTTTAAACTTTTGAACGGTAAGAAACAGATTTCTATTTGAAATAAATGCTCTTCTTTTTAACTTTTTATTCATCAAAGAATCCTGAAAAAAAGCATCACG